TTCCTGGATGCTCACTCAGTTTTGAACCAAGTTGGAAGATGTCGAGTTTCTGAAAAGATTATAGACCTATCTCATGCAGGGCTGGGTTTGTCATTAATGAATCCCTACAAACAAAATCTGAGTCTGTCTACTATCAACTAGTAGAAGTTTGTCTGTTCCTTTTCTCAACTGCCAAGCACTGAGGGCAGCCAGGCCACTGTAGGGAATCTTGAAGGAAAGAGCCTCAGGACAAATGGTCCCAGCAGCTGCCAGGGTCTTCCCCCAATATTCCTTGATTAGGATCAGCTAGCCACGAGCAGCAGGCTCCTGGCTAGTTAAGCCAAATTGATACTGCATCCAAGCTTGATCTGCTCACTGCCTAACAGGCCAATGAATCTAAGAGACAAGGGGCTGAGGCAAGAAAGAGACTTTTTGGGGGGGGGCAGCTGATCAAGAAGATGGCAGGCAAGTGCCTTAAAAGAACCATCTTCTAATTTTAAAAATAAACAATAAAACACAAATGACCCTTAAAAAAAAGTATTTAGAGCAATAAGGATATGCTTATGAAATGCTGCTTATAAAAAAGTTAGGATACAAATAGTATACACAGTCACACCAGCTATGTGAAAAACAATTATACAAACATACGCACACTTAGGGCTTCCCGGGTGGCTCAGTGATAAAGAATCTGTCTGCATGCAGGAGCTTCAGGTTTAATCCATGGGTTGGGAAGATCCCATGAAGAAGGAAATGACAACCCACTCCAGTATTCTTGCCTGGGAAATCCCATGGACAGAGGAAGCTGGTGGGCTAGAGTTCATGGGGTGACAAAAAGTTGGATATGACTGAGCGACTGAGCATGCATGCACACTTATTAACAGTGATTACTTCTGCTTAGTAGATTATGGTTGCTTTTATTCTCTTCTTTAGACTTATTTCTCAAGCTTTCTCATCAAACACTTACTAATGTTATAATCAGAATAAAATAATCAAATGAATTGAAAGCCAAAAAAAATCAGAGCTCTGAAGAGCTCTCACCAATTTTTAAAAATAGGAACGCTAACCCTGAACCCTAAGGGCCTGGTTAAAACCTCGTTACCACCTGCCATCACATCTTAAAACTCATTTCCAGCTCTACGGGGAGGCTTAAATGAGATAACCTAAATAAAGCATCTCTACCCATCTTAGTGTGTGAGGCACTTTATAGTATTCTATAAATATGATTTTCTTCCTTAATTTGACACAAACCATCTGCTGCCTTGATTGCCTCTGTATACTCTCTGTGTGCAAACCTGCGTGAACCTGTCTAGTCTCTGGTCCTGGCCCTTCTTTTCTATCTGCTGCTAATCAAACTTTTACTCTGACAACTGGCAGTATGCCTTCCTTCTTCCTACTTCCCTTGCCCCTCAGGTTATTTCCATTATTAATATACGAGTCAAATGAAGAACTAAGGAATAAGCAGATACAAAGCCCTGTATAACAAAGTTCAGATTTAACACTAAACTACATAAATAACTACAAAAATCAAACAAAGGATTTCAATCCTTGTTCTGCTGCTTATTAACTGTGTGACTCGCAAGCAAATTACTTAACCTCTCTGAGTCTTTGTTAACCTATTCATAACAACCAAGACAATTCCTATTCTATAAAATTGTTGTCAGGATTAAAATGAGAGCGAATGTAAAATACATAACACTCTAAATATTTAAAGTTCCTATTCACCTTCTATTTCCCATCTAAAATGCCCTTGAGCTAGTGGTGAGTATTTTCAGATTAACTATATAATTAAACAGATTAATTATAATAGTAATTATATATTAAACATTTAAAACATCAAACCATAACTAAACCAGAAGAAAGTGAGGTAAATATTCAGCATCTCTATGAAGAAGCGAGGACTGTCAAAGCTGAAAAATGATGGAAGAGAAAGAATATCAATACAATTGCCTAAGTAAAAAACATTACTTAAATGTATCTTGTTGACTTTTATTTACAGCAATGCAGTACACTATATATTCACAAAAAACAAAACTAAATAAAACTCCCAACACATTTAGACATTCTAGATAGAATACCACAAAATATCTTTTTAAAGATATAGCTAATCTCTCAAGAAAATAAGAGATCTCCCCAAGGATCAAACATAAACAAGGAGCTAGAAACCAGCATGCTAACCTGATACTGAAACTGTGGTTTCCTTGAGGGTATTTGCTGGTTACTGAACAGAGAAGGCATGGTTTTTAGTGGCTGTTTGGTTAAAAGAGAAAGATCTTGGAGGTAACTGAGATCCCTGCATGGTTCTGAAGGGTTACGACATTTTATGAAAAGACTGACTTAAACGATCCACCTGAGGGAAATCTCTTAGCATAGAGCATAAGTGGAGAAAAAAGTTTTCCCTAAACATGTATCATCTCAGGTCTGACTTCTACATATCTGAGATTTAAACACAGAAAATCCCAAGTCAAAAAACTAAAGCAGTCATGTGCTGGTGGCAGATGAGGATACCTGGCTAAAACAACTCAGCAGAAAAAACAGCAGATACTATTTGAAGGGGGCTTCCCAGGTGGCACTGTGGTAGAGAACCTGCCTGCCAATGCAGGAGACGCAAGAGACAGGGTTTGATCCCTGGGTTGGGAAAATTCCCCTGGAGGAGGAAATGGCAACCCACTCTAGTATTCTTGCCCGGAGAATTCCATGGACAGAGCAGCCTGGTGGGCTACCGTCCACAGGGTTGCAAAGAGCCAGACATGACTGAGCATATGCACGCACACACATACACACAATCTCAAGAGCCACGTCTTCTGTCCAAGGCTCACAGAATTCCTACCAATAAAGCCTCCAGAATCAGGAAATAAGGAAACAAACTGTGAGGTTGGGCAGAAATAAGAAACAGCAGAATTAGGCTCTGAAGAATGTCTGATAATGACTTACTGAATAAAAATATGAATTCACTATTAAGCAGTATGAAAGACAGAATGAAGACTTAACATATGACTTATTAGAGTTCTAGAAGATGGAAGTAAAGACAATGGAAGAAAGGCAATACCAGAAAAGTTAACAGCTGAGAAATTTTCAGAATTAATGGAGGGACTTCCCTGCCGGTCCAAGTGGTTAAGACTTCACCTTGCAATGCAGGCAGTGCAGATTTGATCCCTGGTCAGGGAGCTAAGATCCCACATGCCTCGCAGCCAAACAAACAAAAAAACATAAAACAGAATTAATGGAAAACAAAGTCTGAGATGCAGAAGTCACAGCAAATCCAAGTCAGGAGAGAAAAATAATCCTGTGGAGACACAGTACAGAAACTAAAGAACAACAAAGAGAAGAGTTTTTGCAGCCAGTGAGGGGAAGGGAAAAAATTATCTACAAATGATTGTAGGCATCTAGCACAGAGTGTGGAAAGCAAGATCCTAAAAATATTAACAGGAAATAATTGTCATCCTAGAATGTTATAACCCCCTAAACTGTTATTCCACAATGTTTACAAATAAAGCTATTTTTGAACAAATAAAAACTGAACTAAAAGACTTTCAGGGAAAGAATGCCTAGGATATTCTTCAAAAAGCAAAACATAAACCTGCAGGGAAGGGTCGCAGCTAAAAAACAGTGAACAAGGGTGGTCCAATGGTTAAGAATCCACCTTCCAATGCAGGGGATGTGGGTTCAATCCCTGGTTGGGGAACTAAGATCCCATGTGCCTCCAGGCAACTAAGCCTGCATGTGGCAACTACCGATCCTATGCCCTCTAGTGCTCAGGTACCACAAAGGAAGATCCCTCATACAGCAGTGAATATTCTGCATGCTACAACTAAGATCTGATACAAACTAATTAATTTAATAATTAAAAAACAGTTAACAAGTAGCTAGTGTTAATAAAATATGGATAAACTTAAACAGAACTAAATCTATGAGATCAGAGTAATGTCTCATCTAAAGTAAGAAATGTAAGAAATTGTCAACAACTATAACTTGCAATTTGGGAGGGAGTAACTGCAGTTAAAGTTCTAAGGTCCTTTATATAGGAATTCTATCAAGAAGGACAGAGCTATCGATTGGTATTTAGATTCTACTAATGGAGGTATGCATACTGAAAATTTAAGATAATCTTTAAAATATAGAAATGGAAAGTGTGAACGTAATCAATGAAAATAGAAATAGAGGACATACATTTCTGATGTAATTTTAAAATTCAATAAATCACACACACTTACCAAAATAAGGTCAGAAGAGAATTTTTAAAAAGGATAAAGCAGAACAAATTAAAAACACAGAATAGGCTGGACTTAAATATCAAAATAATTGGACTAAATTTATCAGTTAAAAGACAAAAATTGTTGAATGGTTTTATTTTAAATCAAGGTATATGTTATTTATAAGTAATACACCTAAAATACAAGGCCACAAAGAAGTTGAGAGGAAAAAAAATAAAGAATGAAAAAACAAGCCAAATAAAACTAGGGTACCTGCTTTAACTATCAAGACAAAATAGACTTTAAGGCAAAAATCACTGTTACAGAGATAGAAGGGTATAAAAAAAGGATAAAATGTTACACTCATTAAAAATAAAAAAATTTTAATATGTGTGTGCTAATACAGATTCTCTCTCTCTATATATATATGTATATATATGTATATACACATATATAAAGCAAAAACTGATAGAATTAAGGAGATATGGGAAATTAAAAATCTCATTTACAAGAGTATCTAAAACAATAAAATACTTAGGAATACAATAAAGTGAAAGACTTGTATACTGACAATATAAGACACTGATGAAAGAAATTAAGGAAAATACAAATAAGTGGAAAGAGAGCCCACGTTCACAGATTGGAAGACTTACTACTGTTAAAATGTCCATACTACCCAAAGCAATTTAAAAAAATCAATGTAACCTCTATCAAAATTCCAATGACTTTTTAACAGCAATAGAAAAAACAATCCTAAAATTCATATGGAAATACAAAGGATCCCAAGTAGCCAAAACAATTTTGAGAAAGAAGAACAAATGTGAGGAGGCCTCACATTTCCTAATTTTAAAACATATTATAAAACTACAGTAATTATAACAATATGGTAACAGAATAAAACTTAGACCAATGGAACAGAAATAAGAGAGCCTTGAAAACAAACCCATGCATGTATGGTCAACTGAACTTCACCAAGGGTGCCAAGAATACATACATCACTTTCACTGCAGCATTATTCACAAATCACATTATTATTTATATGATGATTTATTTATATTATTTACAGTCTAAGAAAGAGTAACATGGTTGGATATAGTATCAATATATAAACTCACTCATATAAACTCTTTAATATATAAAGCTCACTTTTCTAGGCAGCAGCAGAAAATAAAAAGTAAAAAAGGTAATTTTTAAAAAGCTGTTACTAAACAACAAGTAAAATTAATAATAATAGCAACTGTAAGAAGAAAATGAGCAAGGTAAAATTATTAGGCTATTGAGTCATCAACGTACTAGAATGAAAGCTGTAAAAAGAGAAATTGTGATACTGGTGCAAGAGGAGCCAAAGAGATCACTGGAACAGATGGAAAAAACACTAAAAACAAGCCAGCACATATGTGGATATTTGGTATAAAAAAGAGATGGAATTGCTGATTAGTGGGGAAACAATGAAGTATGTAATAAACAGTGAGATTACCTATCCATAAGCAAAGAAGTAAACTTAGATCCATACTTTAATCACACAGAAAAATGAAATAAAGGTAGTTTAGCAACAAAAAGCAAAATTTCAAATTTTAAAAGAAAACATATCATTTTACTCAAAGTGGGGAACACACAAGAAACAGATACAGTATTATAAAGGAAAGATGATAAATTCAACCACATTAAAATGTGAAATTTTGTTTAAAAGGTCATCAAAAAGAGTGAAAAAGATACCCCACTGCCTGGGTAAAAATATTTGCAAAGCTTATAACCAGCAGTGCATTTGTATCCAGAATATATGAAGAATCTCTACAGTTAATGAGGAAAAGACTAAAAGCTCAACATAAAGGCAAAAGATATGTACAGGTACTTCTTAGAAAAGAAATTCCAAACAGCCAGTAAACATCGAAAGATGTTTCATCACAGTTATAACCAAGAAAATGACACAAGCTCCATCATTTTTATATCTGTCTACTCCCAGTATTTTAGTAGTTTATAAAGATATGGTACATTAAGATAAGAATCATCACAGAACTTGTTCTTATTTTCACTAGTTATTTATAAATAGATCTTGTCTAGGTCTTATGAAAAGTTATCTGCAAAATCAACACTATGTTTTCCAGTGCTATTAAAAATAAACAGAATACAGAGAATCCATTTTTCCCCCATAGAGAATTTTGCCCTAAGATGTGGAAACAGATCTAAAAATTGAGAAATTAACAGAACTACTGGATATACATTTTTTGAGTCTTTAACATTATATTAATTATACTATTTGGTGATGCCAGATGACATAATCATTACAAAGTCTTTTTAAGGTGACAGCTGCAAAACTTCTAAAATTATATCACTAGTTCTTTTGTATGATTCTTTCTTTGTGTCCTATTTCCAATATAGCTTCCAGTGAAACTGTATTAAAAAAAAATTGCATAAGCGGGCTGAGCTAAAGTACTATTCAATTTTGTTTCATTTATTTTACTTTTTTAACTGCTGCACTCAGAAGAAGACTTGAAGAATTGAAATCAGCTTAAAAGTTAAGCAAAATAACAGTACCTCACAATGCTGGCGAGAAGCTTGAATTTCACATTCATATTTGTTCTTTACAGATTCTAAGCAGAGCTCTCTATAGATTCCTGCAACCAAACACAATTACTCTGATTATGTTAGCAACAAGGAGTTTCATTATCACTTCCCTCTAAGAATTCTGTCCTATTTTATAAAATGAATCAAGAAGAAATTGGTAGGTCTAACTTTACCTTTAAAAACTAGAAATAACAAGGCTTAGTCAAAATATATGTCAAAGAAGACTACAAAACTAAGAATTTAAGAGCTAGAGAGGAACTACACAACAAATTTTAGTTCCTACCCATTTTTCTAAAGAATATTTCTAAATGCTTGATAGAGAATGATTAAAATGAAAATAAAACTCTTCACCTATGAAAAACAATGTCTCAGGACTCATAAGGGTAACAGAGTCAAAAAACTCTGGTTTCTCAATCACACATACCCAAACTAACAACTGTATACCATAACCATCGAAACCACTCTTTTTTAACTATTACTTATTTTCAGAGTCCAAAGCTTCCAAGAAGACTAAATGTATAAACTAATATAACAAAATTTATAAATTAACACAATGTTTGAGTGCTCCTGACAGAGCTTTACCTAGAGGATGGATGGTCAAGACAGTTTAACTTAGAGGTACCGAAACAACCACATAAAATAGGCACCCTAAAAAAAAACACATAAAATAGGCCATGCAAATACACCATCATAAAAATGGCAAAGAGGTCTAGATGTACATACTTAACTCTATGCCATAGCTGCCCCTAGAACTGCAATACTCTTTCCTATACAGTAAAGGCAAGGAACAGATATCTGGAACTATGCCATCAGCAACACAATCACACACATGGCTCTTTGTACAATCAAAAAGTAAAGGAGGCCAGCTAGCAGCAAAGTGAATAACTGACTCAAGTAATATTTTCAAAACATTAGGAAGTCTCACTTAGTTCTTTTCAAATGTCAAATAAAACTAAGGACATGTTTACTTTTAAGGATGTCTAAGTCAATATGCAAAGATAGCAGATTAAGCATCCCATTATCTATACACTTAATATTAAGCACTCAAGACTAAAATTTGGCTTAAGGAGGATTCAGTATAAGAAGAACCTATTATCAACAATGCCATACGTATTATTAATAAATAACAGGTGTATGAGGATCAATTATTGTTCCCCAAAAAGAAAACAATCAGTATCTCCAGTAAATTTCAGTTTTTAGTTTGACTGTGAAAAATCATTAAATGATCTTCAAATAGATATATCCTTTGTTAGGCATGGTAGGACACAATTCTGAGGCCAGATCCCAGTTACAAACAGAAGACTGAAATTTAACCACACAAATAAAATACATCTTCATTTATTCATAGTCACAAATGCGTCACCAAACTTTTCAAAATAAAAACTTATAACTGAACTACAGGTTTGAAGGTTAATTCCCTGTTCTTTAACATCCTGATCAATTTTTTTTTAATGCTTTATAAATAAGAGCTCTTTATCACTCTTAAAGATGAAAAATACTAAGAGGACTTAAATTGAACATTAATAGAAAAATAAACTATGGTAGTAACAGTATCTCTTAATGAAAATATCCTGGTTTCTAATTGTTTCACATGTGGAAATACCTTTTCAACAACACTCTGACCAATTTGAGGGCTTTTTTGTTTTAACCCTCCACAGCAGCAGAGAAAAGCAGGTGGCATTTAATAAAATAACTGTGGGTTGATTGATAGTATAATGATCTGGTCAATGTAAATACATTTTTACTTCTATTAATAACAACCACTCATTTGACAAACACCTTTTAAATCTATTGAAGAATTCATATTCTACTATATGGAAAAGATGTTTCACTTTCCTACCTGCTACCTTTGTACGAATTTGCATATTTTCTTGTAAAGTTGCCAGTGGTTCCAAATATTCTGGTGCTTTTCCAGCTATGACTTCTTGTAGTTTTGCATCCACCTGACTTAATCGTTCTTTATAAAGTCTTAACAAAGCAAAAATTAAGATATTAATTTTAAAAGCCCAGCAAAGGCTAACAATTTACCATTTCTATACATTCTCTCTTAATATCCTTCATATTCTAATAGCCTACCAAATGTATTTTTTCCTTGATCTCAGGTGACAAGAACACAGTTACATCATTTAACTTTTATGCAAATAATCAAAAAGAAATATTTTTCTATTTTTTAGATATATCGTTTTTTAATGGTTAATTTACAAATCAAAAAAATACAACCAAAATAACTACCTCTGGACACTGTAGATGTTTTTAACTGCAGAATAAATCAATTCTAAGAGAAAAGGTCAAATAAACACTGAGTTTAAAAGGAACAAATCATTTTGAGTAATTTAGATACAGGCATTACTAGCTGTCAGAAATAAATAATTCCATGAAATCTACTGAATCTCCAAATCTCCTGAAAAGGAGTCAGTATAACAATATTCAGCCTACTTAATTTTTAAGAGAACAAAGAAGAAGCCTAGTGATGAAGGTAAAACCAAAGGCTAGGGAACTTAAGACCTGGCATACTCAGCTCATCTAGACTGTGAATGAAGAAGCTATAACAACATGAGTTGCTCGGCAGATGGGGAAGTGAAAAGTGGGGCAAAGAATCCCCATTGCTCTTTTTAAGAGTCTACGTGCAAAGAGACCTAATCTAACAGCCATCACACCAACACCTTCAGCTTGATTATCAAAGATGGTATGTGAGGCAACTCAATGTTTATTTTTACCAATAGTCCTGCAGGATAGAACTTTTTCAACAAGAAAATGTTGAAACTGTCATTCTTTATGAGAAGTGTTTCTAACCCTGGTTTTGTGGCATTTCAAAGATATCCTAAAATAAAGCAGATTAACAATTTAAGATCATTATATAAAAAATTTTTTTGCCATTTATTACTGCATCATAGGTGAATATCTCATAATACATCATAAGGATGGCATGTAGTAACTCCCAGGAAAAACCACTGATCATGCTTATAGTTGTTTGTATAAATAGCAGTTGACCATTGAAAACATGATACTTGGCATTCATATAATATTCCACTCTTTCCTCTTGAAAATACCAACTAAGACAACTAATATTGCCTATTATTGATCATTCTATTTAGCATAGCGATTTATATAATGATTTTAAAAGAATAAAGCAAGTTTGAGTGTTCATACTAGTTAATATTCTTTTTTTTACAACCAGAAAGGAGAAATTATCTGAATCAACTTCCAAAATAATACATTATCATGTCTGGGTTAAATTTTTCTAAAACTCAACATACAATGTATGAAATCCAAAAAGTATAACACAATACTAATAGTTTTTGAAATTATAAATACAACTTCAAACAAAATGCTAAAAACTAATACAAAAGATGACTGCACCTGAAAAACATCAAACTCATACAAAATATGGATAATAAGGTATCCTGAATAGGTGAACATCCTGAATGAAAAGGATATGTGAATTAACAGTATTCAATTAACTCACTTTAAAAAAAAACAGATTCCTCAAAATCAGTATAACTTCTACAACCTTGGAATCAAGTATAAACTCATCAAAGGCAAGGATCATGAGTCCTGCAGCAGAAACCACAATACTATTCACAGAACAGAAGCTAATTAATGTTTGCTGGATGCTGAACACGGAAATGAATGGACATGTAGGTGGGACAAGTCCCTCTTTCTTTTTAAGAAGGTGGAAGAACTCACCTTCCACCACTTCACAAACTGCAAGTTGTGGATTTTCTGCCTTAGGAAAGGAGTGCTATATGTGCCCTATAGTGCTAGAACAGGCAAAGCAGGATATTTATTATTATTATTATTATTAATATTATATTTCCCACCTCTTCCAAAGAGGATTTGAGACAGCTTAAAGAGATACACAGTATGAGAAGACAAAAATAAAAAACAAAGCAACAGGGTAAGACACAAAAAAATAATTAGAAACCTTGTGCCAAGATTTTTTTTTCAAAAATATAGATACCAATTCCTTGAGAAAGAATCCTATTAAATAGTGTTAATTAGTCTACTTTTAATACTTTCAGAAATGAATAATGCTGATAGGGGGAACTGGCTGGTAATCATGGTGAGCCATGAGAAAGCAAAAACCAAGGCAACTGCCTGCCCCAAGGGGAACAAGATTAGACCAAATGACTCACTAGATGCAAACTTATCCTATGTAATATATTATACTAGAGCTTTACAACAATTTTCATTTCTTGGATAACCAAAAAAGGCTCTATAAAAGCTCAATAACGTGTATCTTAAATAACTGTTTAAGAATCACTCATTCATGGATTTCTTATGCTAAAATACAAATTTGCTTCCTCTTTTCCAGAATGATCCCAAATGAACTGAATGAACTCTCTGTATTGCCCAAATAATGGATTCCTGGGAATCCAAACTAATTTTAACTTCAAATTAGTAATGTAAATCTTTAGCATTAAAAAATATCATGCTTTTTAAAAGCAAAATTTTACACTATGGATTATTTTGGATTGCTTATATTAATTTGTCACACTAGCATAGAACATTATCTATATATTCATCACTAATACCAATGAAAGTTAACACCAGAAATGGCATAAACAGCAGGATTCGTCTGGTAACGAAATCTGTCTTATTTCAGGCTGGCAATTCCAGATATTAAATGGGCTTTCATCTCTTCTTTGGGCCTCTCTAGGGAAGAAGTTTGAGAAAGAGGACAAGCAGCAAAATCACAAAGAATCCATAAACTGATGAGGCAGCTTCTGAATAAGTTAAGCTATCTATGGTCTCAAAGGTTTCTCCCTTTCATTTATATTTCCTAAAGTATATCATGCCCCATGTCCTTGCCAGCAAGTTCCAAACTGAATGTTCACCTTTAAGATTTCTTTAAAATCTGCATCTATTCTATTCTCTCCAATCACTGGAGCTCCTTCTTGCGTTACCAACTTTACGTAAGAGTTTTGGCATTATAAAGAGGGGGAAAAAACAGTATCTGTAAACACACACTACATGTCAGACAAATAGCTGGGAATTTTATATACTGCTCATTCAAGCTTTACAGTGGATAGTAAAGAACTTATTACTATATTTTTTAAATCTGTCAAGAAAGCCTGGATTCAGGCCCTGTGATTCCACCATGATTCCTCCAAAGTAATGTGCCTTAGTGGAAGGAACACGATAGATAGCACCTAAGATGCAAAGCCTGGCTTAATTTATCACCTTCTGATAAACTATGAACAAATCACTTAACCTGTGTGATCAATCTTCTCAAGAGTAAATGAGAGATAAAACTATCTTCCAACCTTACAAACTAAACAATGCATGTGAAAACATGCAATGTATACATTATCCAATGTTAAGATATAAATAAAAATCACCATGCCATCTCTTGGAAATAACTCTTATTCTCAAATTTTTACAAAAATGTTATCTTTATTCAATTATTTAACAAAGGAATGAATGAAGCATATTAGAACCAAGGGTGCAGCGATCCAAGGAAAACACTTTCATTACCAATACCCACATAAAAATCTTATTAAATTCCCCCCCAAAACCAGCCTCAAAACCTTTAATTAGTTAATGAGGCCTTCAGCAGGCAAACAACAGTTGAAGCCTTTTTCAGGTCAGTCAGTTCCATAAAAAGCAAAAAGGAAAATAGTTTAGAATGAATATAATTTCTCTCATGCCAGTATACATGTGACAAGGTTGAGATTCAGTGACAGTGACCTTCAGAAATTACCACTTACTGATCCTTGAGATCGGTAAATTGTTTTTCAAGATTGGACATTTCATCTAAACATTCCATTCTTCTTCTTTCACAGTCTTCATCATCCATTTCTGTTAACAAAATGCAAATATCAAAGATAAAACTAATGCTATGTTCCAAATACATTGGAATGTTAATTAGAATGGTTAAAAAAAAAAACAAAAAAAGAAGTACTTTAGGACTTAAACATTTATCGAAAATAATTTCCACTGTAGATTTAATGTAAAATACAGATAAGAGTTAAAAGAGTTGCTAGTTCTTAATTTTATTCATTTTTAAAAATAATTGTATTTATTTATTTTGGGCTATGCTGAGTCTCTGTTGCTGTGTGGGCCTTTCTCTAGTTGCAATGAGTGGAGGCTACTCTAGTTGCGGCACATGGGCTTTTCACTGTGGCAGCGTCTCTTGTTTCAGGGCGCAGGCTCCACGGAGCCCAGACTTCAACAGCTGCGGCACTCAGGCTGAGGAGTTACGACTCCTGGGCTCTAGACACAGTCTCAATAGTTGTGGTGTATGGGCTCAGGTCTTTACAGGATGTGGGATCTTCCCAGATCAGGGATCAATCCTGTGTCTCCTGCATTGGCAGGCAGATTCTTTACCACTGAGTCACCAGGGAAGCCTCTTTATTCACTCTTAAATCATTTTATTAAAGGGCTGATGGGGCAGGGGTCCAGTGGTTAAGAGTGTGCTCCCACGTGTAAGGGGCACAGGTTTGATCCCGGGTCAAGGAACTAAGTTCCCACGTGCTGTAGCACAGCCAAAAAGAAAAAGGCTGACCTTAAACTGTAACTATAAAGTAATTAGTCCACTTTTGGCTTGTTTTTCACCAACTCACCAGAACTTAAGCACCAAAATGATTATGTCCTTTAAAGGTTAATATTGCTTAAGAATACTTAGGGAATTCCGCTTATGGAATGCTCACATGGATAATTTGCGAGTCAAATAAAAAAAGAAAACTAATCTCATTATGTTCAGCACAGAGTATCTCGGTTTCCTACTCCTAGGTCCCCACTGTTCCCGCTCCCCACATTACAGTCAGTCAGTGAGAAAGAGGAAGGAGGAAGACAAGCAAACTTTTCAAGGAAAACAATTGACAGCTACCAGCTCTCTCCTATATTTCACATTGTCTGTTTTTGTCAATATATCACATATAGCTGACAACATCAGAATAACTTAAGCACAAAATGATGTTCATATTGATCATCATCAAATAAAGGTCAAACTATGAGAAAAAATTAAATTATGTTCAGTTACTTTCTACAGCAAGAAAGTATGTTTTTTTTTTTAATTTTTCTGAAACAGATTAAAATTATTTCTGGCTCTTAAGAGCTTATTCCTTGACTCTTTAAAATGTGGTCCCTCAAGATGATTCACTCCCCAATATCTCTAGATAGAGTTTTTCTGTAGCCTTAAGACTGGCCCAGTACCCAGGCTGGAGAAGAATAAAACTGTGGGAGTTTAACATGCAAGATAAATGGTAGAAAAGAGATGCAAAAGCAACATACAACTGAAAATTTTTTTAATTTCTTTGTACTTAAAAAATTTGACTTGTGCTTCAAATCATTATCATATTCTTCATAAATTAATGTGTCCATTATTTTGGGGGACAGAACAAAAAACAGTTAAAAAAAATAAAAACCCACAGGATCAAAATAAAAATTAGAGAGGCAGAATTTTAGTAAATAGATGTCATTTTGAGAGATCCTAACTCCCATAAAAACAAAAACAAAGAACAAGTGAAGATAAAATGTTTTACAGATCCAGAAAACGTACTCACATATAGTATAGATATTCTCTGTATTCTTCACTTTTGAAATCTCACCTATTTTCATGATTAAGCAGGTGAATTCCAAATTATGCTTCCCATCCCAGGCGGGCTCCAATGCCACATTACCACCTGTCAGTTGGGCACTCTGACTCAAATATACCATCAGGACCTTGAAAACATGTCTGTAATACGTTATCTTCTACTTTCATCTCAAATCTCTCTTTTTTTTTTTTTTTGTTTCTGTTCAAACTACCACCATTCTCCTTGTATTTGGGTTTTTCTTCTTACATTGACTCCTAAACTTGTAGTCATCAATCCCACTTTCTGCTTTTTCTCAAGTCTTTCACACCTATATCTTTTCCTTTTCTAGCTCAAATCCTTCTCCCAACCAAACTGGTTTTCTCACTCTTTTAAATAAGGCTTAAGCTCTGGCCTTGCACTTTTTCTTACATTGCTTCTTCTACAGAAATACCTGAACTTTACCACTCCAATCCAAATTCCACCCACTCTTCAAGATAATTTAGGTAATCCCACTAGCCTTTGCTGATCACCCTGTACTGAAAAGATTTCCTCTACCTCTGAATTTCCACAGTAATGTTTATAAATAAGTGTTCATTTGGCAATTGAATCAAGTGGTGACCTATGACAGCTCTTTAATTGTGGTCAGATCATAACTATTTATAGCTTCCATTGAGTAGAACCCAATACCGCAAAAGGAAGTCACCCAGAAACACTTATTCGGGGTGGCCGATTTATTGACTGAAATGACACACTTCCATGGAGGTTTTCTTTGAAAGGGAAGCCTAAAAAAGACAGTGTCACGGTGATAGGCTGTCGTCAACCTGTCATCAATCCTTGCTTCACATGGTCAAAATCAGGCCAAAACAAAGAAATAAGTCTCATCTTCATCGTATGGATAGAAGGAAAAGAACCCAGGTAATCATAAATTTCTTTTTAAAATAACCATTCCTAAAAGATTGCAAAAATTGATTTAAGGTGTTAACCTGCCCCCCTCCACTCTGCCCCATCCCACTCCCTTCAAAACAGAAAACAAAAACAAATAAACAGACAAAAAAACCAGCACAAAGTTAGAAAAGATTGCAGGGGAGAAGATTTGGAGAGCTTCAAAGCTGCCAAAAACCAGCCAGTTATTTATAAGCATATGAAGATCTCCAATCAGTCCTGATGTTGGGCTCTTCTTCTCAGTCTTGAAAAGTTCACAGAAATGATGCAGATGACCCAGCTCCCACGTCAGCTCCCCGAAAGAGGACGAATGTCCAGTACGGACTGACACGCTGACTTGGAAGCTGACATTAATAAATTCTAAACCAGCCAACAGCGAGTACCCTCGGATCCTGACAACCCACACACGCTGAGAAGAGCTGCAAAGGTGCAAAATAAGAAGTCGGCGGTGTGGGGAGAGGAGGCATTTCCAGCGTCTCCCAGACAAGATGCGGGACATTTTCCGCTCCGGATAGCCCGAGGCACTACCCAGAGGTCCCAAGGGCGGGGCGGATCGAGAACGGAACCAAGCATCGTCCGTGAGCCGGACTAGTCCAGGCCCGCGCCCTGCCCCGCTCCGCCCCGTCAACCGGGACCCGCCAGGAGCTGGGCAGCGCCCCGCGAACAGTTTGGGTGCCACGGAGGGCCGGGAGCCAGTCTCCGCCCCTTCCCTCTCTCCCCGCCCCGCTCTCCCAGCAGGACGCAGCTGCCCGGCGTGCGGAGAGCGGCCTGTCGCTAGCCTGGCGCGAGGACTCGGGGTCCCAGCCCGCTGGGTCGCGTACCTGAGCTATCTCCATCCTCGGAGACCGACGAGCTCTCGGTGTCCTCGTCCTCGGAGCTGCTCCCCTCGTTTTCGGCGTAGTCCACCTCCATCTCATCGTGATGGTTCGTCTCCTTCTTATCCCCTCGGGAATGGACTGGCATTTTCCAGCCGCGCCGTCGCTTCCCACTCCCGGCGCCCAGCCCGGCCACCGCCGCTTCAATGAAGGGCGCGCCGAACGCCCCGACCCACCCAGCAGCCGAGCTCGTTCAGAACCCCCTCGGCTCCTCCCCGCCCCCGCCGGAGCCTCACAACCTAACCCGCAGGCTCAGCACTGAGAGCGCTGCCATTGGTGGAGGCAGCCCTCCCGAGCCGGGGGCTGGAGCTAATCCTGCTCCGGTCCGGTTGGTTGCCGGTAATTACGGCGCGGCCTCGGGATGTGTGTCGGGAATTGTAGTCCTTACTCTTCAGACCTGCAGGGGCCGCCGGCTTCGACGCTTCGGCTACCCTGATCGCTTCTCCCCTCCGGACTTCAAGTCCCACAAGGCACGAAAGCTGCCGGACTCGGTCGCAGTTTATAAACTAAACAGAAACAGATTGTGAGATTTTGGTCTGTGTTTATTCTTTTCCCGCCAAGTGCTTGTCTGAGCTTCCAGGCCATCCAGGATGTTACTGTCAGATGTGAGAAGGTCTTTTGCCTGAGGGTTTTCCCTCCTCTTTAAGGCTACAGGAACTGGAGAAATGTCTGTTTACCAAAGACCTTTTATTACCACTATTAAACATTGTTGAATTAGTTTCTGCAGACAACTTGCACTTTCTATGTTGCACAAAAATCTTTAAATTACTCTTGAAACTTTTGCAATATGAAAGGAAAGGAAGTTTTATCTTGGCACTTTTCTCTAGTATGTTTTACATTTGTTTTTAACCATATGCGGGTTTTTCCTCAGACGGTAAAGAATCTGCCTGCAATGCAGGAGACCAGGTTCGATCCCTCGGTCCGGAAGATCCCCTGGAGAAGGGAATGGCTATCAACTCCAGTGTTCCTGCGTGGAGCATTCCATGGACAGGGCAGCCTGGTGGGCTACAGTCCATGGAGTGAATAAGAGTCGGACACAGCTGAGCGACTAACACAGTTCCAGTTTACCATACGCAGCCTGAATATGCCTCCAGTCTTAACTTCAGTTTTCAATGAAAAATATTTATTTGACTTAATGAAATGTTTTATTTTTTCAATAGTAGGGATGATAGACAAGTAAAACTCCTTATATATCCTAATCATAATAACATACTAATTGACCACTTTTACTCTGTATCAAATACCCTGGTAAATTCTTTACATCACTTACATTGAGTTGAATTCCCAATTTATTAGCCCTGAGTTAGGTGCATTATACCCATTTTACAGATAAGGAAATTTTATTTGCAGACAAACCTAAAAACTGTATTTTATCCACTATAAAGACAAGGCTTCTTCCTGAAGTGGCAATTTGCTATTGAAAGAGATTTCATAGAATATTGTGGGTTGTAAATTTCTTTCTCAAACACAAGGTTCGAAGACATTTGACAGAGAAAGAGTATCCAAGCATAAATGCATTAAAGTTAGATTTTGAATTTAATGACAGAAAACATCTCAAGGGCTATCAACCTCTTGGCTGAAATCCAAATTAAGGGACTTTTATTATATAGTATCAGCCTACTTGTCCTTTTCTTACTGTAGTCTCCAAAACTGTACTCATCAGTTGAGAAACAGACAGACTGTTGGCCATTTCAATGTTCTTTGCGTATCCTATTTCTCTGCAACCCTCTTGCACTCATTTTTTTCAAAGCCACTTTCTTGACAACCTTCATCACCAGCAACCCCTCCACCATTCAGTCCATGCCCCTGTTCCTTCAGATTACTGCTTGGCAACTTTGTACTTATTTCTGTCACACTGTATTGTGGGTTGTTTAGCAGATGCATCTCACCAATTGGATTATGAATTCGTTGAGAACAGGGATTGTCTTAGCCTGGGATGCAGTTTCAGAGTCAAGTTTGTGAATACATTATGTGAATGGTGTGGACTAAAGCTGGGCAGCTGCTTTTAGCTCCAGCCAGTTGTTGCTACATCTGAATTTGGGACTAGATGTCAGACCTTCTGATTTTCAAGAGAAATTTAGAAGTTTACATGAAATTTAGAAGTCTACATGAAATTACCAGATTTGTAAACATTATTTCAAGTGCATTTTTTGCTGTTACTTTGGTTTGGTTTGGTTTATTAAACTCCAGACCAAACAAAAGCAGCTGTGAGTAATATCCCTGGCCTCTGTTAATCTCTGTTATATCAGCAGCTAGCAGAGTATGTGCTGGATAGTAACACTAGCTTGGATTTCTGGTCACTCTTCATGTTCCAAGCACTGTATGTGCTTTAAGGAGATTAATTCATTTAATCATTATAACAGCTCTATGAAGTAGATATAATTATGCCTTCCATTTTGTAGCTGGAGAAACTGAAGCACAAAGCAGTTAGGTTGCTTGGCCAAGGTCACACTAATAAGTAGCAGATTTAAGATCTGAACTTCAGTAGTCTGACCTCAGAGCCTGCAGTCAACTATCAGTACACAGTGTCCCACTAGCAGATTATTTCTGTGTTTCTGCTGTTTAGAGAAAAACAGAAGGAAGTTGGAGAGGAGGCATGGATTCTAGCCCTGGTTCTGCTAGTAACCAGGCAAGTCAATTTGGCAAATCATATACTCTCTGGTCAGTTGTAAAATGAGAAGTTTGCATTATGTTATCTTTAAGTTCTCGTCAAGCCCTAAAATTCCTGTCCTCGATGTGTTTATGTTTAAGGCAGACAAAATAATGGGAGATTAAGCAATTAGAGTTGCACAAAGATGTATTGCTTAAAAGGAGTTTCTTTCTCCTCTCCCCAAACAGATTTTAGAAAAGATACATAGGAAATGTAAGAGGAACCATAAGGGGAAAAATGAATAAGGCTGGAAAAGAATATTGTCACTTTTAGAAAATACAAATTAATGTTAAAAAAAAAAACATGAAAGCAGAATGAAGTTTTCTCAGTTGAGGCATTTTAAAAGGTAGGAATGATGCCTTCCATTTATGTTTACATTTCACACAGAGTTTACAGTATACAATCATTAGATACATTTTAAGTCTCATTTTTCATTGATCCTTAATAAGCACTCCTTTATTGAGAGCCTTCTAAAACTCGTGGTCGGTCATCAGCAAAATCTGCTATGTCGTTACCCTCTTCTCTGGAAAGGTCCCTTGACTTTCCTGTTCTAAAGGGAACATGGCGCCCCCCGAGGAGCCTTGTCGTGGAGTAGGTATGCTTGGTGTCCTTGTTCCTGCCAGATGATCATTTCCACCTCCCCTCCCTAAAAGCCCCCAGCTTGTCATCAGGATATGCCACGCAGTCTCTTTACTTGTGGCTGTTCTGTACATACCTCCCAGGCTCACCCCCCCCACCTCATTTTTTGGAGATTTTAGCTCTTGGCTCATTCTCTCCCATGGTATGCTCACCAGAATCCTTAGTCATTTTAGTATTCAGTAAACAGGCCAATACCACTCCATTTCCTACTGGGTTTGCTCTGGCTTGTGAAAGTCATTCATTCATATTCGACTCTTTGTGACTCCGTGGACTATATAGTCCATGGAATTCTCCAGGCCAGAATACTGGAGTGGGTAGCCTTTCCCTACTCCAGGGGATCTTCCCAACCCAGGGATCAAACCCAGGTCTCCCGCACTGCAGGCGGATTCTTTACCAGTTGAGCCACAAGGGAAGCCCACTCTGGCATAGAGAAGACAAAATAATTCTGGCTTTTTCTTTGTAGTTTTTCTCCTGTACCTTCTTTGGTATAAATTTTCAATCTGCCTTATTAATATTTTAACATTGACATGATAATTTAAACACATAGAAAGGTAATTCAGAATATTATATATAACACAACAGAATGCCCTCTAAGCTTTGTCAGATCTTATCATTTTATTGCATTTGTTCCACATCCCTCTTCATTCCCAATTTTCTCCTTCCCTCTCCAGAATAACCATTATTCTGACTGCAGTGTTTTGATTGCCATGCATGTGTACATTTCATTTTTTCTATATTTAGAAATGATTATGTGTACATTTCATTTTTTGTATATTATAGAAATGATTATTTAACATGCTTTAAACAATCATATAGTAGAGTAGTGTTAGTCATTCAGTCATGTCTGATGTTTTATGACCCGATGGACCATAACCTCCAGGCTCCTCGGTCCATGGAATTCTCCAGGCAAGAATACTGGTGTGGGTTGCCATTTCCTTCTCCAGAGGATATTCCCGATCCAGGGTTTGAACCTGGGTCTCTTGCATTGCCAGGAGATGCTTTATCATCTGAGGCACAGGGAAGACCTAAACAATCATATCATATATGATACATATAATACATATGTATTATATAATGCATATAATACTAAAACTTCCTTTATCCTCAACAATGTTTTTGAGATGTATCTATTATGATACAGGTAGCTCTAATCCAGGTAACTTTGATCTGCTCTAAGGTAGTCTCTTGAGTACACTTATTCCATTGAATAAATATTAAAAGTTTCACTCACACACACAAAAAATTCACTCATTTACCTACCTATTAATGGACAGGTAGGTTGCTTTCAATTTTTTCATTACTAAAAATAGTTGCCTCTATGAATATTCTTGTATTTATCTTTTGGGGCCTGTGTGTGAGGATTTCTCTAGGTCAATGGTCTCCAAAGTACGGTGTGTGTATTCAGGGAGTATAGCCTAGGGGATAGGAAGAAAAGATTAAAACTTCAGTGTATAAAGTCTTCAGTTTCATTTTTATTTGGAGTAAAGTAGATATAGGGAGGAAGCTATAAGCCCATTTTTTTTACTCTGATTTATTCTCATTATGGTTTCCCTGGTGGCTCGGGGTAAAGAATCCACCTGCCAATGCAAGAGATGCAAGAGATGCAGGTTCAATCCGCTGGAGAAGGAAATGACAACCCTTTCCAGTATTCTTCCCTGAAAAATTCCATGGACAGAGGAGCCTGATGGGCTAAAGTACAGAGGGTCGTAAAGTGTCAGACACGACTGAGCAACCGAGCAGCACACACGAACTTAATTCCAAACACTACCACGTGGTGGAGCTGAGACATCAACTGTACATCCACAAGCCTCGTCACAACTGATGGACCCAGGCCAGATGCCAGTAGCTAGAAAAACAAAGGCAGGAGGCAGTAACTAATGGCTAATACTCAAATCAGGGTCAACATTTTAATCATTCAAACCAAGTCTAGGTCTTTCGAGATCTACTAAATAACTAAATAATAATAATCCACTAAATTGACGACTAAATAAGACCAATTTATTGTCAATTAAATGAGACCATGATAAAGAACCCGCCTGCCAGTGCAGGAGACATAAGAGATGCGGGTTCAATCCTTGAGTCAGGAAGATCCTGGAGAAGGGTATGGCAACCCATTCCAGTTTTCTTACCTGGAGAATCCCACGGACAGAGGAGCCTGGCGAGCTACAGTGCATAGGGTTGCAAAGATCAGACACAAGTAAAGTGCATTATATGCACCATGATTTCAGTTGCTTAAGAATGAAACTTTTTTAATGTTAATCATTTTATTGTTATAATAAGACAGATGACAGTTTTTCATATCACCATTGCACTCATGCTAGGGATAACAATGCTTCCTCTACTAATAATGCTACTTGATCTTTTTAAGACATGTTATTTACTAAACTTGGAA